GTTGCTGGAGCCCCAGGCAGTTCCTCTTAAAGGGCCCATACACGGACTTACTCGGACTTGGCTCCCTCTGAACTCGGAGAGGAGGCAGCTTGAAAGTCACCAGAGACATACAGGGAAGAAGTGAACTGTTTGGCCTTGGAGGAGGGCTGGAGAGGCAGTTTTCTCTAGGACGGACGTGCTGGCGGAGGCCTTTGTTCCTTTGGTGAGCCCTTCCCCGGGCAGCCGGCTACCACATCGGGGATTCCAGCAACCTGGCTTAACACTGTCTGCCCAGCCCTGGTAATTCCCTGAGGTTCGAGCCCACCCAAGCTGTTTCCAGTGGCTTTACCATAGGATTGGCCTGTCTTGGATCCTGCTTCAGATTTTCCTAAAATCTCTCAAACAAGCAGAAAGCCCCATACCTCTTGTTAAGTGGCCCCAGGCCTGGCACTAGAAGCAGCCAGCCATGGTTCACAACTTGGCTTTTCCTGGGCACCTCCAAGCCCAGCACAAGAAGCAGCCATCGGCAGATCACCTTGTAGCCCATGCCAGATAGAACACAGGCAGTGGCTGACCTTGCCCCAGAGCCAGCACACCCTGTGGACAGCTTTAGAACACATTGAAGCACCACAACCCAACTAACTCCACAAGTGACACACTCAATGAGTGGATTCAGTGGGTACCAAAACCCTGCTGAAGTAAATGGTGGGCTCCTACACAGCTGCTGGGCCCCTACACAGCTCATCCTCCAAGGTAGTCAGAGGCCAGTGGTCAGTGGGCACAGCCAGTCCTTGCAGCTGATCAGTCTGAATAAATCCCTCCCATTGATGAGCCAACAGCAATCAAGACTCAATTATAACAGAAAGGTGTACAGTCCACACTAGGGAGGCACCTCGAGGGCCCAGCTGGGGTGATCAGGGAGGCTGTGCCACTGAATCCTACAGAACACCTATAACAATAGGCCACCCTATGAAGCCTAGGAGCCATAGCAACTCTACCTAATACATAGAAACATAGGGAAGCAGCCAAAATGAGGAGACAAAGAAACATGTCCCAAATGAAAGAAAAGAACAAAACTCCAGGAAAAGAACTAACTACACAAAATGGAGATAAGCAATCAATCAGATGCAGAGTTCAAAACACTGTTTATAAGGATGCTCAAGAACTTAGTGAGAACTTCAAAGAACTTAAGGAGAACTCCAACGAACTTAGTGAGACCATCAACAACATAAAAAAGGACCAGTCAGAAATGAAGGAGGCACTAACTGAAATAAAGAATAATTTACAAAGAATCAATAGTAGAGTAGGTAAAGCCAAGCAAACTATCGATTTGGAATATAATAAAGCAAAAAACACTCAATCAGAACAGCAAAAAGAAAAAAAAATTCAAAAAAATGAAGATAGTATAAGGAGCCTCTGGGACAACTTCAAGCATGACAACATTCGCATCACGGGGGTCCCAGAAGGAGAAAAGAAAGAGCAAGAAGTTGAAAAACTATTTGAAAAAATAATGACAGAAAACGTCCCTAACTTGGTGAAGGAAACAGACATACAAGTCCAGGAAGCACAGAGAGTCCCAAATAGAATGAACCTGAAGAGGTCCACACCAAGATATATCATCATCAAAATGCCAAAGTTTAAAGACAAAGAGAGAATCTTAAAAGCAGGAAGAGAAAAGCAGTTAGTTACCTACAAAGGAGCTCCCATTAGGCTGTCAGACAATTTCTCACAAGAAGCTTTGCAGGCCAGAAAGGAGGAGTGGCAAGAGATATTCAAAGTGATGAAAAGCAATGACCTACAAACAAGATTATCTATCCTGCAGAGCTACCATTTAGAATTTATGGACATATACGAGTTTCCCAGACAAGAAAAAGCTAAAGGAGTTCATCACCACCAAATCAGTATTATATGAAATGTTGAAGGGTCTTCTTTAAGGAGAAGAACAAAAATATAAACAATAAAATGTCAATTAAAATATATCTATCAACAATTGAATCTACAAACAAAATGAGCAAGCAGAACAGAAACAGACTCAGAGGTACAGAGAACTTTTTGTCGCCTGCCAGATGGGCCGGGGCTGCGGAGATGAGAGAAAAAGATGAAAGAATTAAGAAGCACAAATTGGTTGTTAGACTGATGAACTTCAAAGGAAAGGGGGCAGAGAGGGTGGGATGAGATAAACCAAAGAACTTCTGTGCATATATGCATAACCAATGGACACAGACAATAGTGTGGGAAAGGCAGGACTGGGGCAGGATTGGGGAGGAGAGGGTCAATGGGGGAAAAATAAGGAACATCTGCAATACATTCAACAATAAAGATAAGTTAAAAAGTAAGCCCTGGCCAGTTTGGCTCAGCAATTAGAATGCCAGCCCATGGACCAGAGAGGCCCAGGTTCGGTTCTCGCTAAGGGCATGTACCTAGGTTGCAGTTTGTCCCTGACCCCGGTTGGGGTTGTGTGGATGACAACCACTCGATATGTCTCTCTCACATGGATGTTTCTCTCTCTCTCTTCCTCTTTCTCTCCCTCCCACTCTGTATCTCAAGATAAAATGCAAAAATGTCCTTGTGTGAGGATAAAAATAAAATAAAAAAATAAATAAAAACCAACTATTAATACAATAATTAACTTTTACATCATTCAATATCAAATAACTATTCTCTTCAAAATATTAATTCTTCTGAAATACTAAAATGTTACCTAATTCTGACCTAGCTTTGTACAGAGAATGGAATCAGAATTATTTTTTGTCAGAATTACTGTTACCTGTATAAACTACTTTAGACATCTTTCCAGAAGAATTTTAAAAGTAGTATTTCCTCTTTCCTCTAGCTCCAAAACACATTAAGTAATTATGAGTTGTTGAAGACTTCACAGAATTCTCATACAACTTTTTAGCACTACCAATACACCAGGCATTTTTACTTACTCCTGGTTTTCCTTAAAAATGGGAGCAGAGATAGTTCTAGTAGGGCCCAGATCTTTCTATCCCATGAATCAAAGAAGGTAGAAACTTCTCATTTCTGTCTAAAAACAAATGATTCCTAAATGCAGTTACCTATTCCAAGTATCTTAGCTACTTAAGATTTAGGTAGAAGCAGCCATTTAATTGAATCTATTAAAAGTGTTCGAAAATACATTTTAAACTTTTAAAGAAAAAAGAATTTGAAAAATATTTAAAGTCTTAAATTAATATAAGAAAACATTGCTAATACCCACATTCAAATTAACACACAGTACCCAGTAGCACAATTTTAAAATTCTACTGAAAAAGTATAATCAGTTTGTGGTAAATGTCAATTAAGAATTTCATTCTTGCCCTGGCCGGTTTTGCTCAGTGGTTAGAGCATCGGCCTGTGGTCCAGAGAGACCCAGGTTCAGTTCCCGCAAAGGGTGCGTACCTCGTTTGCAGTTCGTCCCTGGCCCTGGTTGGTCGTGCAGGTGGCAGCCACTCGATGTGTCCCTTTCACGTTGATGTTTCTCTCTCTCTCTCTTCCTCTCTCTCCCTCCCACTCTACCTGAACAAAAAAAATGGAAAATGTCCTTGGGTGAGGATAAAAGAAAAAAGAATTTAATTCTTGCCCAGCCAGTGTGGCTCAGTGGATTGAGAGTCGTCCCATGGACTCTGATTCCCGGTCAGGGCACATTCCTGGATTAAAGGCTCCATCCCCAGTAGAGGGTGTGCAGGAGGCAGCCAACTGATGTTGCTCTCTCCCTTGCTCTCTCTCTAAAAAAAAATAAATAAATACAAACGTATAAATAATTTCATTCTTGCCTGGCTGGTGTGGGTCACTGGTTGAACACTAACCCATGCACCAAGAGGTTGCTGGTTCGATTCCCAGTCAGGGCATATGCCCAGGTTGTGGGCCCAATCCCCAGTAGGTGGCCAATCAATGTTCTCTTTCATCGATGTTTCCATCTCTCTCTCCCTCTCCCTTCTTCTCTCTCTAAAATCAATAAAGAGCCCTGACCAATTTTGCTCAGTGGTTGGAGTGTCAGCCTGTGGTCCAGAGAGACCCAGGTTCAGTTCCTGCTAAGGGCACGTACCTCGGTTGCAGTTTGTCCCCGGCCCTGGTTGGGTCGTGCAAGTGGCGACCACTCGATGTGTCCCTTTCACGTTGATGTTTCTCTCTCTCTCTCTCTCCCTCCCACTCTATCTGAACAGAATATTGAAAAGTGTCCTCAGGGGAGAATAAATAAATAAATAAATAAACAAAATAAAATCAATAAAGAAAAAAAATTTTTTAAAAAAGAATTTGGTTCTTGCCCGGCCAGTGTGGCTCAGTGGTTGAGCATCAAACCATGCACCAAGAGGCTGCTGGTTCGATTCCCAGTTAGGGCACATGCCCACGTTGCAGGCGTGTGCAGGAGGCAGCCGATCAATCTTTCTCTCTCTCCCCCCCGTCACCCCTTTCTCTCTATCTAAAAATCAATAAAAACATTTTTTTTTTTAATAAAAAGGTTCATTCTTTTCTTTTTTGTTTGTTAATCTTCACCTAAGAATATTTTTCTATTGATTTTTTTAGAGAGAATGGAAGGGAGAAAGGAGAGAAACATCCATGTAAGAGAGACATATTGATTGGTTGCCTCCCACATGGCCCCCAACTGGGGCCAGGGATCAAACCTGCAACCCAGGTACATACCCCCGACCAGAAATCAAAACCTCTATCCTTTGGTCTGAGGGCTGACACTCTAACCACAAGCAAAACCAGCCAGGGCAAGAATTTTATTCTTACTGAGTGAGGTTCAATTTTCTAGCAGCTGAAGACTTTCTGCTATTAAGGACTTTTATTTTTTATTAATAAGCAGCAATGCGAAATTTAAAAAGAAAGGCAGCAGCAGTATGGTGTACTAGTGGTTAAAAGTCTAGACTTTGGGCTAGGTTTGAACTATAAACTTGTTATATAATCTAGGATAAATTACCTAACTTCCCTGTACATTAATTTCATCATCTGTAGAATTAAGATAATGTGTCCACTTTATAGAGATGTTCTGAGGATTAAAAAGACAAAAATCTTACCGATGATAGGCTTCTCGACGATACTTTTTCAGGGCATGTTTATCCATGTTAGCAGGCAGATCTGCTGCATTCTGTAACCGATCACTCCAGGAGGTTGTCATTTTATTCTATGCTGAATTCTAGAAAAAAAATCAGTATTGTCATTTAGTAGCTTAATATTGGTATCTTTATGCTTATTTTTTTTTTCTTTATTGATTTTTAGAGAGAGAAGAAAGGAGGAGGAGAGATAGATAGAAACATCAGTGAGAGAGAACATCGACTGGCCACCTCCTGCTTGCCCCCCCCCCCCCACTGGGGATTGGGCCCACAACTTCGGCATGTGCCCTGACCAGGAATCGAACTGGCCGGACTACGCTTATTTTTTTAAAAATACATTTTATTGATTTTAGAGAAAGAGGAAGTGAGAGGGAGAGATACAGAAACACTGATGAGAAACATCAATTGGCTGCCTCCTGCATGCCTCACACCAGGTATGAAGCCCACAAACTTGCATGTGCACTGCCCGGGAATCAAACCATTGACTTTTTGATGCATGGGATGACAATCAACCACTGAGCTACATCGGGTGGGTTGATACCTGATTTTTTTTTTTTTAACTAGAAAAATTCTAAACTTGCAACTACCCATCAATTTAAATATATTTTATATGTGCCCGGCCAGTGTGAGTCAGTGGACTGGGTGTCATCCCACGGACTGAGATGTCTCGATTCGATTCCCAGTCAAGGCACATGCCTGGGTTTCGGGCTCGATCCCTAGTAGGGGGTGTGCAAGAGGCAGCCAATTGATGTTTCTCTCTTATATCAATGTTTCTCTCTCTTTCCCCCTTCCTCTCTCTCTAAAAAATCAATAAAAAAATATTAAAAATATATATATATGCTGACACTTCTCAAGTATATAAATTTAGGAAAATGTTTCACATGATAATTTCTATACAGAAAGATCATATATATCACTTCAAAATAATAAAGCACAACTAACTTTAATCCCAAAAATCAAGAAAAGGGACTAAGACCACAGATTTATTATAAAAATATGTAATTTTCACCCTGGCCAGTATGGCTACGTGGTTAGAACGACAGACTGCCGACCAAAATGTCGTGGGTTTGATTCCCAGTCAAGGGCACATACCTGCATTGCAGGTTTGATCCCTGTCCCTGGTCAAGGTCCTGCAGGAGGCAACCAATCGTATGTCTCTCTCACATGGCTGCTTCTCTCTCTCTCTCTCTCCCCCCCCAACTTCCCTCCCTCCCTCCCTTCACTCTATCTAAAAAATTCAATGGAAAAATATCCTTGGGTAAGGATTAACCAAACAAAACCACATAATTTTCAGTTAATGTTTCAAAATGTGTAAAGTACACAATCTCTAAATCAATATACTAAGCTCAATCAATGGTGGTACAAATGTAAGTAATGAATATTTGATTTCTAATTTTATTATACTTTATATAAAAAGCATCTTTCAGCTGGCATAAAAGACTATAAACTAGAAATAATAAACTAAAACATTTCACCTCGTTAGAGTGAACATTTAAAATGAAGTGGGCAGCTAAATGTCTATCTTAAATACTTTAACACTAGGCACTGTTCTAGGTTTCATTTCTATTTTTAACGTTTTCATCTGTAAACAATTTTAAATAAAGATGAAAATTACCCTTTCAAAGATAAGAAATTTTTAACATTTTATTAAAATACCAATGTTTGTCAAAACAGACTCACAGATACATTGCTGATGAGTACATAAAAATGGTATAGCACTTTGGAAAACATTTGCCATTTCTTTGAAAGGTAAATTTAGCCCAGTCAGTGTGGCTCAATGGATTGAGAGTTGTCCCATGAACTGAGAGGCCCCGCTTTGATTCCTGGTCAGGGTACATGCTAGGTTTCAGGCTCAATTCCCAGTACGAGGAGTGCAGAAGGCAGTTGATCAATGTATCTCTCTCTCAGCAATGTTTCTCTCTCCCTCCCTTCCTTGCTCTCTGAAACATCTGTAAAAATATTTTTTTTAAAGTTAAGGTTATATCTATGTCCCAACCTTTCTACTCCTAAGTAATTATCCAAGAGAAATGAAAGCATCAATCTATATAAAGATTAATACACAAATATTCAATAGCAGCTTTGTTAACCTCCAGAAACTGAAAACAACCTAAATGTCTACCAACAGGTTAATGGACTTCATACAATAGTCTACTACTATACAATAAAAAGGAATGAACTACTGGTATACAACCTAAATAAATATCAAAATTATGCTGAGTGAAAGCAGATAGACAAAAATAAGTGCAAACTGTATGATTCCATTTACATAAAATTCTAGAAAATGCAAATGAATTTATAATGACAAAAAACAGATCAGTAGCCCTGGCCGGTTTGGCTCAGCAGTTGGGAGCGTCAGCCTGTGGACCAGAGAGTCCTGGGTTCAGTTCCCGCTAGGGGCACGTACCAAAAAAACAAAAACAAAAACAAAAAAACCAGATCAGTGGTTGCCTAGGGTGGAAGACTGAGGCTGAGAAGGAGCCCAAGGAAACTTTGGGGGATAATATGTTCATTACCTTGATTACAGTGATTGTTTCACAGGTGTATACATATGTCAAAACTTATTGTACACTCTAAAATATGTGGATTGTTGTACATATTTACACCTCAATAAAACTATTTTTTTAAGTCAGGCTTTTTTTTCTCTTTCCTAACAAATCAGAGGTAGTAATTATACAAAGAAAAGATTTCCCCTATATTTTTATTTTTATTACTTTCTTCAAATTATTTGCAGGAAAAATTCAAAGGACTTTCTTGGATCATTCATGGATTAAGCAAAATACATTTTATTTTAAAAATTCAACTTATAGCCCTGGCCAGTTTGGCTCAGCGGTTAGAGCGTCGGCCTGCAGTCTGAAGAGACCCGGGTTCGGTTCCCGCTAAGGGCACGTACTTCGGTTGCAGTTTGTCCCCGGCCCTGGTTGGTCGTGCGGGTGGCAGCCACACGATGTGTCCCTTCACGTCGATGTTTCTCTCTCTCTCTCTCTCTTCCTCTCTCTCCTTCTCACTCTATCTGAACAAAAACTGGAAAAAAATATCCTCGGGTGAGGATTTAAAAAAAAAAAAAAAATTAAACTTAATAGTCTTAGCAAAGGTCACACAAAACTTTATTCAATTAAAAATTTAAACATAATTAAATAACCATATTATAACTAAAATGGGGTAAAATCTGCCATGAAGTCTACAATTATGTGAAGGTAAAGGAGTGGGATTATCTTAAATCATTATCTTCAAGCAATTCCTCATACGACATTTTCTTATGATCTTAACACATCTTAACATTACTATGACAGACTTAACTCTATCCAGCGACAGTCTAATGCTTAACTACATTTCATAGTAACAATAAAAATTAAAGAAAATTCTTAATCATCTGGCCCCCCAAAAAGTTCCAATAAGTTGGTACACATTTCACTTGTCACCTATTTATAGTGTTGAGCTTAAAAGTAATTTTTCAATAAGGTACTGCAGTAACTAATACTAAATAAACAGCTCTGATTTTAATTAATTCCTTTCAAACAATAGTGGTACAGTTAGATAACTGTTTCAATATAAAATATCTAGCCGCAAAGTAGTTGTACCTGAAGAGTAACAACTGAAATGAACTCTTAAGCACTTAAAATATTGTAGTCTCACACTTTAAAAATACTTCATCCGCAAAACATACACAGTTCCCTTCACCACTAACATAACCCTCCCCCAAAGAAAGGGAAACCAGCTGCCCCAACAGCTCCAGGCAACTGCTGAAAACAGGAAGCAAAGAGTAACTGAAACTGTGGGGTAAGTCTGGTTAGCAATCTGCAGTCTGATTAGCAAAGCCATTTTAAATGTGTTTCAGGACATGTCAGTAATTCACTTGGAAAGAAGTGAGTAGCACCATAAACATATGTACAAAGGTCTTTCAGGCAAAGTGTTTAACAAACACATGGCAATTTGAATCAAATATTTGTTTTTCTTTTTGTTTGTTTTAGTGACCCAAACATATTTAAGTAGTAGTGTGAAATAGCCCCCGATCAGAGCCCAGACAAAATATATTTTGGCATTATCAAATTTTTTTCATTAACAGCCTGTTGGGAAAACTTTTGAGCATGTACCTCCAATATAGTATCTACATTACTAAATAAATATGCAGAAATTTATAAAGGATGACCTAAATAGAAAATCATGTTTTCTTCACCCCGGAGGACCACTGATCTGATTTTCTCAATCATTTGGCAATGGGGAGGCCCTACAAAATATTCATTTTTCAATGGAATAAGTGTGTCAATATAGATAATAAAGTAATGATAACAGTAAGTAAATATGAGCACTGAAGTGTTTTACTGAACTTCATTGGAATTTATTTTGTGAAATATAAACCTTGGAATCTATAAGTTTTATAAACAACCATTCTCATTCTAAGAACATTGAACGCTGCTCTGAAACAAATGGAAAGGATAATTCTGAATGGTTTCTTCAAACTTTCTCACCAATCTGAAATTTACTTAGTCTTTTTTTTTTAATTGAATTTTGAGAGAGAGAAAGGGGGTGGGAAAAAGAGAGAAAATGAGAGCGAGAGAGTAAGTGGAAAAGAGAGATGGATTTTGTCGTTCCACCTATTTATGTATTCATTGGTTGATTCTTGTATGTACCCTGACAAGGATGGAACCAAAAGAACTACCCAGCCAGGGCTCATTTTAGTCTTCAGAGATACAACTTTAATTGCATATTACACATATTAAGATAGTTTACTTTATGGAAGAGGAAAAACTAAAGCTATATCCTCCAATTGTACGCCTGGTATCATACTAAGTAAACATATTTTACACATAGCCCTTGATAACCTTAGTTCTTGACACATGAGCAAGTAAATAGTTTTAAATAGTTCACGACAAAGAGGTTTTGTTCATTTTTTGTTAATCCTCACCCAAGGATCTTTTTTCCATTGATTTTTTTTTAGAGATAGCAAAAGGGAGAGAAGGAGCGGGAGAGAGAGAGAAACATCAATGTGAAAGAGACACAATGATTAGTTGCTGCACTCACCCTGACCATGGGGCTGTCTGGGGCTGGAATCTGCAACCCAGGTACATGCCCTTGACTGGGAATT